GCCCTAACCGGTTTGGCTCAGTGGATAGTGTCGGCCTGCAGACTGAAAGGTCCCAGGTTCGATTCCGGTCAAGGGCATGTACCTTGGTTGCGGGCACATCCCCAGTGGGGAGTGTGCAGGAGGCAGCTGATTGATGTTTCTCTCTCATCAATGTTTCTAACTCTCTATCCCTCTCCCTTCCTCTCTGTAAAAAAACAATAAAATATTTTTAAAAAATGTTTTCCTATAACATGTAGCCAGTCATTAGAAGAGATTTCTATGTTTGTCCAGGTGGTAGGCCATACAGAAGTAAAGTTAGAATACACTTTCTCTTATTTATATCCACTTTGACCCCTCTACAAAATAAAGTGGTATTCAGACATCCTCAGAATATGCAATAATTAGGCAGGATTTTCTAGTCTTTTTAGTGGGCTTTGCAAAATTATCGAATACTGAAGCCTAAATATTCAGTCATTCCTTTATCATATTACAGGTCTGGGTTTGGAATCACCATTTGTATTTGGTTGCGCCTCTTGTTTAGTTAACTTGGGTGAGCTATGACACCTCAGTGAACCCAGCTTCTTCCCCTGTAAAAGAGATGTATGTTGAGTTTCAATGAGGATTAGAAACTGACGTGTGGTACAGTGATTAAGCATCCAAAATATATTAGTTCCCCTTTCTTCTTAGCCTAAAATATGAAGATTATGAGCAACTTTATTGAGATATAATTCACCCAAAATATGGAGATCTGAGTTTAAAGATTTGCATGGGAAAATCAATTTAATAATACTTTGCACATGTATACAAATATATATATGGAAACCCTCTTGAATGACTTGTGTTAGGATACCTGATCATCATGATATGCCCTCTCTTCCTCCTCCATATTCCAGCTCCTCACTCCACCCCTCTGCACACCCATATACACAGACATACACATGGACACACATACACACTGAAGCTAGGATATACCTTTTTGTTTAAAAAGTAGAATCATAAATGTTCAATTATATTTGGAGAGAAAGTAGGCAACTCTTGGGGTATTTATTAGCAATTGCTAATGCATTTGGGGGACTCTTGGGGACCCCTTGCAGAGGGGGGACAGCTATTTTTCAGTTTGTAACTTTTTCATAGGAACTGCTGCCATGTCCTACCAACCACTTAACTGCCTGACTGAAAAGGGGGACAGCCCCAATGAAGCCACAGGAAATGGACCCCCCAATCTGCCTCACCCAAACCTGAACATGTTTACTCCAGAGGAGCTGCTGCAGCAAATGAAAGAACTCCTGACTGAGAACCATCAGCTGAAAGGTAAGCAGCACCTGGCACCTGGCCCCCTGTGTTTCTCCATTCATCCCAGGCCTTCCCGAACCTAATCCCTTTGTAATAAGGCTTGTAGGTGAACTCCCTATTCTCTGTTTGAATCCCTGGGGGCAGGAAGAGTACAGCATTTAGCTTTTAGTAAGGCTAACACGGTTTTCATTATTTACCTTTGGGTACAGGTCAGAATAAAAAGTTGTTTTTTTTTTTTATCTCAGGGAAATGGCATAAAGACATCAGTTAGCCCTAAAAGGAAAAAGAAAGAAAAGCTGCTATTATTTCAGTTGGTCCTAAATACTGCCTTGTTAAGAGGAAGGATTCTAATATTATGCCATGGCTTTTGGCAGGTCCAGTGTTCAAATTTAAGAGTCACAGATGTTTGTCCGTCTAGTTAGTTATTCACAGGTACTTGTGCTATATGGCGGCACCCAGGTCAATCTTACTTTATTGAGACTTTGGAGACATTAGACCTGCTAGTCCTGTCCGGAAGCAAAAACCACTCATCTTGCCACAGTCCTTCTTCTGACTGACCCTTGGGCCCAGACCCAGCACGGCATCTTTCAATTCAGAGCCTCAGGTTGAAGTGGCTTGAGGGGCGGTTTGATTCGTTAAGTCCAGTTTGTGTGACCCCCTTGTTGTGTGACCCCTTACTCTGAATCCCATACAGAAGCCATGAAGCTAAATAACCAAGCAATGAAAGGGCGATTTCAGGAGCTCTCAGCCTGGACAGAGAAACAGAAGGAGGAACGCCATTTTTTTGAGATCCAGAGCAAAGAAGCCAAAGAGCGTCTAATGGCTGTGAGTCATGAAAATGAAAAATTAAAGGAAGAACTTGGAAAACTAAAAGGGAAAACAGAAAGGTCATTAGAGGTGAGCAGACAAATTAGTTGGGATTTTATTTTACTAATATTTGTAGTGGAATCTTATTTGTCTAGACTTCTAGATCAAACCCTTTTATGGTTTAGATTAGATGGGTGTTTTGCATTATCTTGAAAGAAATGTTCTTGCTGAGAAGATTGGTTGTGATTTTAAGGGTCATGAATAATCTCTTGTTGGGAGAAAGAAATTTGTAAAGCTTTGACCATAATGATTTTAATCAGAAGAATGTTGAGGTTATAAATCACTATTTTGTACTCATTATAGACAGAGCAGAAGGACCTCTGCTTAGAACCGTGCAAGTGTTAGTTTTTGATGTATATCTTTGATATAAAATTACATTTTTAAAATTTACTGTCCTAACCAGTTTGGCTCAGTGGATAGAGCGTAGGACTGCGGTCCGAAGGGTCCCAGGTTTGATTCCAGTCAAGTGCTTGTACCTCGGTTGCAGGCTCCTCCCCAGCCCTGGTCGGGGCGCATGCAGGCAGCAACCAATTGATGTTTCTCTCACATTGATATTTCTCTCACATTGATATACTCATGGGTCTTTCCCTCTCTTTTCCACTCTCTCTAAAAATCAATGGAAAAATACCCTCAGGTGAGTATACATACATACATAAATAAATAAATAATAAAATAAAATTTATTATAACTCAGAATTTTTACTTATTGACCTTGTCCTTTCTCTCAGTCTAAAACAGATTCTTTGCTTTAAGTTTTATATTTACTTCTGAAAAATGGTTTGACAAATGTCGTGTTGTGATAGGAGATTATATAAGGTTGCCATGTTTTCATTGACCCAAAGAATCTAGGAAATGTGCTCACAACCAAGACTGGGTGTCAAAGATGTTAGTGAAAAAAACAAATCAGAATACATGTGAAGCCTCTGCCCATACGCTAACGCTCACTGCGTATTATTTGTTTTGGTGGATATCTACTGTCCAAACCTACAACTTAATAACCCTTTGGAAGATGCAGGAGCCCTGGGTTAATTGAAGGAGATGTAATCCTGGATATCCGTGATTTTTCTTGAGACTTTACTTTGAACTTTGTTGATCTGTAATTTCTTAGACGAGTAAAGAATACAGACAAATACAATGGAAAGAAAATAATGAAAAAGGGATGATATTAAATAATCTAATGAATGAAAAGTTTTTTAGAACAAGATCATAGTTTATATCAATGACCTACTCATCAGCTCATGCTCATGGGACAATGAAAACATTCAGCTTTAATACATTTATATTTGTATTGGAAATGTTTCACTGTTGACGGGGTTTATCACCTCTGATGCTTCAATGTGTCTTACAGTTCCAAGAGCATTAAGTCACTTTTCTTGGGGAAATCTCTCATTCTCCAAATATTTTTGAGGTACAGGACTCTGAAGAAATGATCACCTGGAATACATAAGTAATTTTCTGTTCTCTGGAATGAAATACCTTACAGATATATCCCTTGCCTTTTGGGATGTGAGCTAACAGTTGGCTTCAGCCATTGGTGCCTATCACATTGAAACCAAAAAGGAAGCTTCCAGAAGCAGTTTGTCTACCTGAGGTAGTCTGCCTGTAGGTTTTGTAAGAAGTTGAGATCAGAAGCTAAAGCTCTAGACAGCTTCTTTCAATCCAGATGATAAGTTGAAGTGAGCTACAAGCAGGACTCAGAAGTGAGTCCTTGAGACCAAGGACTTGGAAGTTTGGGACAAAGAGACACTTAAAGCTCTTCAAGACTCTTGGTCATCAGCTTTCTCCCCCAAACTGTGCCTCCCAGGCCCACACCTGTCTCCTTGCCTCTTCCTTAATTTTTGTTTCATGGGTCATTTGAGATGATTTTTTAAATTTAGGCGCTCATCTTCCTGACTTAGTAAAGGTTTTAAGGCAGTGGTTCTCAGCCTTCTGGCCCTTTAAATACAGTTCCTCATGTTGTGACCCAACCATAAAATTATTTTCGTTGCTACTTCATAACTGCCATGTTGCTACTGTTATGAATCGTAATGTAAATATCTGATATGCAGGATGGTCTTAGGCGACCCCTGTGAAAGGGTCGTTCAACCGCCAAAGGGGTCTCAACCCACAGGTTGAGAACCGCTGTTTTAAGGCCTTGGACTTCTCTCATTCATGCTGACCCATCTTTGCCACTGTTTCTACAGGAAATGCCCCCCAGCCATCAGGGCTTCTCATGCCTCTGTGCCACTCCAGGCCAGGGAGTTGGAATTTCCTTTAGAGAGCTGCATTCTGATCCTCAGGGTGAAGCTGAGGCATTAATGGTCTGTCCGATTTCACTGAATTACTATACATTAGTTTTTCTAAGGAGTACTTTTTAACTCTTAATTGCAGATTACTAGGCAAAGGTCATTAGATAGACTTTTCTTCTTGGATTATAAAATGGCATAACAACCTGCACACATTGCCAGGACAGTAGGATAGAGACATTACACAAATACACAGAAAGACTGGAAGCTGCTGTGTCCCACAAGGTCAACGGTAAGTGCTCAAAAATAATGACAGTGTAACAAATAGTGGAGTGGGGGTTGAGATTTGGGAAAATAAACCATAAGAGTTCTATTCCATGAAGGCAGGGAAAAGACTCCCAGTGTTAAAATGGAGAGGAACTTAAAATGTTATCCTACAAGGTGTTTATGGACAAATAAATAGATTCATAATTTCCCAAGGATAATTAAGAGATGCTCACAAGTGTGCAAAAAGACAATTAACCTGACAGTCCGAGATTCTAGTGTCATGACCTCATATCACTGGTCCTCAGACACTTGTTTAAAACTCTCTTCCCAGGAACATACTTTCATAAGGAGACAGAAAATTCAAATAAAGCTCTAAAGGCTTCTTTAAAATAATAAAATAAAACTTTCTTACCTTTCTGCCAAGGTAGTGTTTTTGTTTTGTTTTTTGTTAATCCTCACCTGAGGATATTTTTCCATTGATTTTTAGAGAGAGTGGAAGGGAAGAGGAGAGACAGAGAGAGGAACATCGATGTGAGAGAGACACAGCAATTGGTTGCTTTAAAGGGCACGCGCCCTGACCAGAATCGAACCTAGGACCCTTCAGTTTGAGGACCAATGCTTTATCCACTGAGCCAAACCGGCTAGGGCTATGCCAAGGTAGTTTTTAAAAGTCCATTCTATCAAATGTCCCCCGAGAGGTCAGGTAGATAAATGTAAAGATTCCTATGTGGCATAGTCTTGCCCTCACCTGCTTACTTCCTAATTCCAGGCTGAGCAGTGTCTTTCCTTGTATGTTTTCATTCTTTTACATGTATGTTTCCACAGTGTGAGTCATTACTGAGAGATAGCATAAGCTTGGAGCCTTTCTTTGTCCACCTGACTTTGTTTCACAATGAGTTGCTTTTCTCTAAGGCTTGTGGTAGATTCCTGGCAAGAGACTGCTGCAAATGAAGAAGAGCATGATCTTGATGGTGGAGGGGCACTTCCCTGCTACACTTTTTAATATTTCATAAACAAGCTGGTTTATGATCCAGGCACATGCCCTTCTGACACTTATTGGTTCCACTGCTAGCCTTTGGACCTGTTTGCCACTCCTTAGGAAATCTGTCACAGAGGGTAAATGTGTTTGTGTGTAGGGGTCAATTCTCTAATGTGTTGCGTCATCTGATAATCACAAGTGCATGCATTTCTGGTGGTGCCAAGAGCAGTGAAGGTTTCCTGAGGAGGAAATCCGAGAGGACGAGAAGGTCACAGCTGGAAGAGACCACAGAGACCATGGGGTACTGTCTTTCTTTCTAACTCAAGAAAACTGAGGCCAAGACATGAAGTGAATCTACTCAAGGCAACACATGCACTGATTAGCAGAGTGTGCCAAGCAAAACACCGCAGCTAAACAGGGTCTTGCTCTTCTGACTTTGTCATATTCAGTAATTGCAACAGCAGGAACACAACATGTACTTGACATTAGTGAAATATTAACCTTTATAATTAATGTTTATAGGGGCTGAAAATTTTTTTTCCATTTTGTTACCAGCCTCTGAATTGTCAATTTGCTTATTTCTCACTGGACTTAACGTTTAACAAGCTTAAAACAGCACAAGGTTTTACAGTACCCAGACTACATTCCTGGGAGAATTTTGAACCTTTCGTTGTTTTTTGCCAGTACTGTACCAGGTGATATCCTTGGTGCTTTGCCTTCTGAGTAGACATGACAGGTACGGGGAGAGTGATGATGGGTATACATTCGTGTGTGCGGGGAGGGGGGGAGCAAGAGGTTGAATTGTGGTAGCTTTTTGTCCTTATTTTCTAGTATTTTGGGACTATAACTTACAATTCTGCCATTGACAAAGTTTGGTTGTTTTTTAATTTTTTTTTAACTTACTGCAAAAGCACCCTGGTGGGGTAGCATGGTTGATTGGAGCATCATCCTGTACACCAAAAGGTGGTGGTTTCCATTTCTGGTCAGGGCATATGCCCAGGTTCCAGGTTAGATCCCCAGTCAGGGCGATTACTCTTTCTCTTTCATCTCTCTCTCTCCCCCACCCTTCCCTCTTCTTCCTTTTCCTCTCCCTCTCCCTCTCCCTTCCTCTAAAATTGATTTAAAAATAATAAAAATAAAGCATTAAAAAGTTACTTCAGAAACACTGTCTTTTTTATTGAATTTATTTGGGTTAACAAAATTATACAGGTTTTAGGTGCACAAGTCTACAACACATCATATGTACACTGTATTGTGTGTTCACCACCCCAAGTCAAGTCTCCATTGTAGGTGGTTGTTATTATGATATCAGATTATTCCAGCATGCTGAGGAAGCATGTCTTTCTTGTCATGAGGTTTAAAAATTTTTTTTATTATTTGAATACAATAAAATTATATTAAAATGTTTATTTTAAACGTTATGTCAAAATAAATTGCCAAGGAAACGTGAGAATTTTCACTGTAAAGCACAGGGAAACAAGTTGTTGAGAAACTGCCTTGCAGTGGGCATGGGGCACTGGAGTTTGGTGCTGGGGCCTTAGTTTAATGTGCTTTCCTCTTGGTCATTTCCAGGAACCCACTGGGGACCCCCAGGTCCCCGAGGCAGAAGCAGAACAGGAAATGGGACAACTGAAGACCCAAGTGTCACGACTTCAAGCTGAAAAGGCAGATCTGCTGGGCATTGTGTCTGAATTACAACTCAAGCTGAGCTCCGGAGGCCCCTCCGAAGACTCCTTTGTTGAAATAAGGATGGCTGTAAGTATTTTGGTTTTGTGTTAAGCAAATTCCAAAACCTCACCTAGGCAATTGATACAAATACCACCATTTCTTTCTCAACACAGGGAAGCCACTTAGTGGGGACATTTCAGTAGTAAAGGTAAATTGGCTCTTGTTTTTTAAGTATAACACAATGCTTGTGAGGGTTATCATAGCTGAAATGGAAAAACATCTGTTACCTTTTATGACAAAATAGCTAGTCCTTCTTTTTTTCGTCCTCACAAATCAGACATTTATGTGACTGACCTAAAAGGCAAAAGAAAAGCATAATCATTTTCAGACCAGGTCTCAAAGCTGTGTTCAGCATTTCACTTAGGTGAGCAGAATCGTGATCAGATGCAGTAAATGTTTTTAAAACATTTTTTAATATTAGAACCCTCTTTTCAAACAAGGTCTTGTGAGGAACCATGGTTTGTTAAAAATAAGTGAAGAAAAGGAGCAGAGCTCTGCTGGTTGTAGGGGGAGAGACTATCTCAGCTTCTCTAACAGCAGCTACTCAGGAACCTGAGAACAGAGTTTGAAGCTGATGCTCTCTAACTCCCATTTATGTGCCACCGAAATGAAGTGAGCTAAGCGAGATGGCATGTCCTAGCCTGTGTGCAGCACCCATCGTGGCTGTGTCTGGGTGTGTGGCAGTCCTACTAAAATCGTGGATGAACCACAAAGGACTTCTTGCTACTAAAAAAGAGTGAGAAGAGGGGAAAAACATGTGAAGGTCCAATCATCTGTCATACACACTGTCATTTTAGCTTTGTCAAAGTGCATGTCTGATAAAGAAAAAGAGATTGTGTCTCTGAAAGAGAAAAATGTACCTTGAAGATGGGGGGACAGGTGAAGGAGTTGGAGGGACAATTTGCAAAAAGCTAAACTACTGATGTGTCTGAAATATTAGAGTGTGACTTCCTTTACTTCCTGATTCATTTGCTGCACTAAAGATTGATAGAGTTGGAGAATGGCTCTTAATAACTTTGTCATCCATGCCCCCTAGTAAATCTAAGCATTAAAAGTGGCTGAAATTAAGAAAATTAAAATACCATTTGAAAGCACACTTTGCCAGAATATTCTTTCTGCAAGTGACTAAAGATTAGGAAACACAAGTTTGATCAAAGAGCATTAACCTTCTGCAAATAACTGATAACATCCAGGAAGCCCAAAGGGCCTATCAGAAGTTTCCAAAAGGCTCCTGCCTCCAGGGCGCGTGGTGAGCATGGTATGTTCCCTCACTGATGAGTGACAGTTATTTTTAGTGTAAACCTGTTTTTCTTGGCCTTGCTTCTGTGAACTGGATAGCACTGCCCAAAATTTAGGAAGAATGCACACATTCAGAACTATCCAGAACATCTTTGTGCATTTTTGGAAGATTATCCTGCTACCTCATTAGAATAGAATTGCCCTTCAAGTCATTGAAGTCGTCTTAATCCTCTGGTTTCCTAAATGGCTCAAGATGCATAAGGTTTCTAATAGGAGCTGATTTTGTGTTCTGTGAGCCGTGTTCACAGAAAACTGCCTCTTTTTCAACTTTGCTTCAGGAAATTCTAGCATTTTGCATTTTGAAGGACTGTACAGGAAAGGTGTGTGGAATAGTTGTCACTAGCTCCATGTGACCTTAACCTAGGAAAGAAGGGAACTGCCAAAGAGAGCAGGAGATAAGCTTTCATGTCATGGGGTCAGATTGACTGTGCTGAATGAGAGGAGACCAACCTTCGTCGAGATATTTATAATCCCGACAGGGCATGTGGGGTGAGGGAAGGGTACATTTCCATTCCATTTGACTGACCGAATTTAAACATCTCACATTTAAATGTTTGGTAGGCTCCTTAGGTTGAATGTCATCAAAATTCTTGATCTTTTGACTTTTTCCTTTTTTGCCTTTTTATCTTTTGATAACATTTGTCTTGTAGACATATTGTATTATATCCCTTTCATTTCTGGTTCTACAGGAAGGAGAAGCAGATGTGGCAGTGAAAGAAATCAAGACGAGTCTTGGGCCCACGAGAATTGACTCCATTGACACGTATGTGAAGAAAGACTTGGGCTGTTGGACAGGCTTACCGGACAGTCTTGTCACTTCCAGGTCCCCACTGAGAGGTCAAACATGGGCTGAAAAAGTCACTTATTATTAATTCATACCAGGACCTCTCAAGAATGTTGGGTTAAAATGCTGTTTAATGTTGTAGCTAAAACTGGCAGAGAATAAGAACAATGTTTGATGCCTTTTCAGGCTAACTAACCCTCACCCTCAAGGTGTTTCTTCTCCTTCAGATAAAAAGTGAAAGACCTCTGCTTCCTAATTTGCATACAGTGCAGTTTGAGCTGGACCAGGCTGCCCAGCCTGATAAGTGGGATATTTCCATTTCCTCTGCCCTGTTCATTCCTGAGTACAAGCCACGGTGACTGATACTAATGGGTAATCTTCCATAGCAATGACTATCACTGCGCAGAGTCTCTGGGTGTTTCTTGAAAGTGCCCAGGTATTTTACCTGTGGAGTCTCAGGTCAAGACTCCTAAATACTTATTAGGAAGTAGACCTTGTAATTGATGGGGGGACTTTGAGGGGATGGTAGAAGGACTGGGCCCCTGAGACTTGCATGTAGCACTCCCCAGAGCAGGCTGTTGGCTTATCCTCTATACGCCGGTTATTACTGTATTAGTCTACAAGAAACAGACAGTTATCTGAAAGTTTCTCTAAGGATCTCTTCCCTCGTAGACTTAAAAAGGAATTATTTCTCTTTATTGTTGAGGGTTTTACAGATGACCCCGTTCCCCACCTCCTAGACTTTTAATATCTTTTTTCTATAACTTGATGAATGTATTTATAAAACATGAAAATGGGTTGTTGTTTTTTCTGTTATGCTCCCAAGCCCTGGTATAAGGAAGAAAATAAGTATTAGCTAATACCCTTCCTTCAAGCAGAGCAATTGGCATAAATGAACGTTATTCCCATTTTTAGTTAGAAATTCCTCAGTTTTTCTCTATATTACTTTTTTTTAAATATCAGAAGACTTTACTGGAAATGGAGGGAAGGAAGGAAGCCCTGTTTGAAATTTCTAAGCCACTTCCTCCTCATTTAGATCCATAGGCACAGACCACTTCCTCTTTCAGGCCACAGAGCTGTTTTTTATTGCAGCTTCTTTATCCTGTTTGAGACTATATTAAGGAATCAGATAGTGATTTCTAGGTTTGCAGTTTGAGCTTAGGAGTTGGGAACCAGAATTTACTCCTGGCTGTTTATTAGATGGATGAATTTGAATAGATTACTGAAAGAGTAGCTGCCATTGGCATCAGCATAGTCATCTGGAATGTTTTTTTTTTTTGTAGTGATGGTCATGGTTTTGTTTGCTTGTCATTGAACTGCCTCTAGATTTAATCACATTTTGAAATCAAGAAAAATATTTGACATACCAATAATGCCTACATTTCTCTGCTCTAATCATTTGAATTTTTTCTTGACTTGAGAATGTGGTGCTTTTGTCAAGGTGGAGAAAGGCCAGTGGCCTGCATGTCACCACCAGCAGCATGTGTGCTGTGTACTTTTTTTAAAAAATATATTTTATTGATTTTTTACAGAGAGGAAGGGAGAGGGATAGAGAGTTAGAAACATCGATCTGCTGCCTCCTGCACACTCCCTACTGGATATGTGCCCACAACCAAGGTACATGCCCTTGACCGGAATCGAACCTGGGACCCTTGAGTCCGCAGGCTGACGCCCTATCCTCTGAGCCAAACCAGTTAGGGCTGTGCTGTCTACTTTGACTGTGGTTCTCTTGAGACTAGTTTTCTAGGAAAGCTGGGCACCGGAAACCAGGACTACCCCTGCTTCGCTGTTTGTGTGGGTCCTGTGGTTTGCTGCTGTGAGCACGTGCAGTGTAAGGCAAGCCTACTCCTAGTCTCCACTCTTTCCCTGGAAAGCATGGAGGCCTGTAGCACGGGGGTCAAGGGCCAGTGCTGCTTGTCAGTAAATGAGAGTTAACTGGAGAGTATTCTGGAAAGCAGTTCCTTTAAGTTTGTTCCAGTTATATTCTTAGACTCTGACATTTTTGTTTTCTAACTCTATACCGCCTTGATGTAGGAGCAGATCTCCAGAAGGTGCCAGGAGTTGTTTGGAATCTGAGGAATTAACTGTGCGCCAGCTCCTGCTTTGCTTGAGGGAAGGGACCCAGAAGGTGGAAAGGCTTGAAAAGGCACTGAAAGAAGCCAAAGGAAGGTAGGAAATAGGCAACTTGAAATATGCATACACTGCTTTTGTTTTTTTAATTATAAGTCTTTTAAATTTATCTTTATTGTTGAAAGTATTGCAGATGTCCCCTTTTTTTCCCCATTGACCCCCTCCACACTGCCCCCCTCTAGCCATTTACCACACTATTGCCTGTGTCCATGGGTTATGCATAGAAGCATATATATCCTGAAACACCAGTCAGAAAGAATGTATGCACTCCTATGTCCATAGCAGTACTATTTATAATAGCTAAGATCTGGAAACAGCCCAGGTGCCCATCAGTAGATGAATGGATAAAAAAGCTGTGTACATTTACACCATGAAATACTATGCAGCTGTAAAAAAGAAGGATCTCTTACCCTTTGAGACAGCAAGGGGGGACCTGGAGAGTATTATGCTAAGCGAAATAAGCTAGTCAGAGAAAGACAAGTGTCACATGATCTCACTTATATGTGGAATCTAGTGAACAACATAAACTGATGAACAAAATAGATCCAGAGATATAGAAGCATGGAATAGACTGACAAATCTCAGAGGGTAGGTGGGTGGTAGAGGACTGAGGGGTAGAGAGAGATTAACCAAAGAATTTACATACGTTGCTTTTTTAACAGCTTTTTGAGGTAGCATTAAGATACCATCCAATTCATCCCTTTAAAGTGTACATTTCAATGATTTTTAGGATATTTACAGAGTTATATAACCATTAGCACTTTGTAATTTTAGAAGGTTTTTCCCCCAAATAAGAAAACCAGTAGTCATTAGTGCTCATTCCTCTCCGTAATCTTTCTCTTTGAGGATTTACCTATTATGGACATTTCATATAATTAGAATCATAAAATACGTGGTTTTTTGTGATTGCCTTCAGGTAATGTTTTCAAAGTTTATCTATAATATAGCATGTATTGGTTTTTCATTTTTGTTGCCTAATAATATTCCATTGTATGACTAGACAACATTTTGTTTATTCATCAATTGATGAACATTTTTGTTGTTCCCACTTTGTGCCTATCTACACTAATAAAAGACAAACATGCAAATTGACCGTACCTTCACTGTGCCTTAAGCCATGCCCACCAGCCAATCAGAGCGACTATATGCAAATTAACCCAACCAAGATGGCGGCTGGCAGCCACGGAGCTGGAGCAAGCAGGAGGCTTGGTTGCCCCAATGATGGAGGAAGCCAGGCTTCCCAGCTGCTGCGGCGGCTCTGAGCTCCACTCAAAGCAACAAAGTTTCAATTATAGAAGATAAATAAACCCCAGATACCTGCTTTCAGCCAGCCGTGGCCACGGAGCTGGAGCGAGAAAGGAGTGGGTTGCCCCTGGCGATGGAGGAAACCAAGCTTCCCTCCCGCCCGCCCTGGCCTGCTCTAAGCTCCTCTCAAGGCTACAAAGTTTTAATTATAGAAGGTAAATAAATCCCAGAATAAATAAATAAATAAAAGAAAAAAAGGAGAGGCTGGGAGCTTCCGTCGCTGGGGGGGGCTTGGCCATCCTGAAAACGGCCCTCAGCCCCTCACCCAGACTGGCTGGGCACCCCAGTGGGGACCCCCACCCTAAAGGGGGTGTGGCCAGCTTGAAAACAGCCATCAGCCCCTCACCCAGTCTGGCCAAGCACCCCAGTGGGGACCCCACCCTGAAGGGGCTGTGGCCAGCCTGCAATCAGCCCTCAGCCCCTCACCCAGCCTGGCCA